GTGAAATTGTCAAAGTACAGATTTACTTAATGAAATAAGAATATGTGGAAGACGGAAAAGGTAGTTTTTCTAAGAGGATGATTTGTAACTGTGACTGCCTACACTGAAATATATATATATATATATATATATATATATATATATATATATAGAGAGAGAGAGAGAGAGAGAGAGAGAGATACAAATAAGAAAACAGATGATATGTCTTATGATTGTGAGAAGAAAAACTTCCAAAAGAAAGAAAGAAATAGTAAGAGTCAAAGTTGAAATGAATGAAATTAAATTTAAAAGAACACAAAAAATATTCAAGGGGAAAGCACTGATTTCATTTAAAAAAAAAATCCTGACTAAGGGTGTAGATTTGCAGAATACTTATGTAATGTGTGTAAGTTCCTGTGTCTAAATACCAATACCGCAAAAATGCAAATGAACAAGAAACAAAAACAAAATATAAGACATATTGAAAGATCTTAGCAAAAATAACCATGATGAGGAGAAAAAAAAGCATTTTAATACAATTTAAGTTTGAAGTGGGATTTTATAACAGACTATTAAATTCCACAGGAACATTAGACATTGTTTCAAAATTATAATCCATTATATTGGAAAATCTAAAAGAACTTGATGTGCTTACAGAAACATATAACCTACTGAAGTTGAAAACTATTCAGTTTAATAATACCTTATAAGATTGGTGCATGCAGAAAAGTCATACTGCAAATCAGTGGAATATTATTGTACCATGAAAAGTATAACTTCACATCAGTTGATGGCAAAAAATTAGATGGAACAGCAGGACAGCTTGTCAAGCCAAATGAGTTAAGCATCAAATAAAAGGTATTATGTGCTACTTGTATAAGTAGAAGATGAGAAAAGGGATAATATAAATACAGAGCAGAAGGAACTATGGAAGTCAGACTTATAGGTCAGAGTGGTAGATATGGTTACAATAGGACAGGGTGTACACATGAGCAAAGCAAGGTTTGTCTGTTAATACAGAAAACACTTCTCTCACCTCAACGGTTATAAGAGAAAGTTTATTCTGGATTCAACTATGAAAAACCACATTTTAGTACAACAGGTTTACAATACCTCAAATACCATTTAATGTTTTAACAGTTTCATAAAAAGTCTTACAGTACAGGAGCAAATCCACTCATAAATCATAAATCAAGATGCTTTCAAATATACTGGTAAAATTATAAGGTAGGTGATTATAGCCAAAAAGGAATGTTCTGTCTTAGGCCTCTGATATTGCCTAAAATTATTCTTAACGTTTAATGGAAGCTAAGGATCTATTTCTCTGATAAACATGTGCATGTTAGATCACACCCAGTGGTGGGTTGAAAATGCTGTTTAGGAAGCAAAGACAGCTGAAGATAATTTGATTTGGGGGTTACAAAAGGCCTACTCTCCACAATCATTGATATGCTAACCATTCTTGTAGAACTTTTAATGTTGGTGCAGCTTCACTTGTGAACTTGAGTTAAAGGCTAGCATAAAAATATAAAAGTGAAGATTATCAATATGTAACATTAAAATCTATCAATAATCATAATATCAAAAAATTTAGAAATCCATGGAGAAAAGGGATTCCTTGAACACTGTTCTCATTTGTTTGTTTGTTTGTTTGTTTGTTTTTCGAGACAGGGTTTCTCCATGTAGACCTGAATGTCCTTAACCATGTACTCTGTAGACCAGGCTGGCCTTGAACTCAGAGATCCATCTGCCTCTGCCTCCTGAGTGCTGGGATTAAAAGCATGTGCAACCATTCTCAGGCTAACCACTATATTTGAAATTATAAATAAGAAAGGAAAACAACAAATAAATACCAAATAACCACACTACCTAAAGATCTTTTAGGGTACAAGCCAAGAAAAATTAATATACCAGAGAAGTGTGTGTGTGTGTTTGTGTGTGTGTGTGTGTGTGTGTTAGCGTGTGTGCATGTGCATGTGTGTGTGTGTGTTGAAATAAACCAAATACAGTAAGGAAAATCGCACATGATCTTACTGATATTTGAAATTAGTCCAATTTGCCCTAAAGAAGTAAATGAGGGAATTATTAGTAGTCAGGAGAGTTTGAGCATCATATTAGATGAAACCATATCAAAGATTAAAAAATTATACTTGGTCAGAGGAATACAAAATAGTTTGTGCAGAAGAGTAAATATAATTAGTAATGATATATTCCTAAAATATGGCTCATATGAAATATTCTTATATAACAATTTTATGTATATGTTAATTCTCAGTTTTAATTTATGCCTAATATAAATTGTTCCCAGACATCGTACTTTATGGACAATAAAAGTAAGATATTATCTATCAAGTTAAATAATAAATTGAAAAACAAACCATGGAATATTGTGATACAAATGGTGTCATTTTTTGTAATAGAATAGATATAATATTTGACAATTTGGGGACTATTGTTAAAGGAGACTTTCTAAAGTTTGTCTTGGATTGATTTTTGTAGAACTGACACTATCTTTGGGTCAAAGAATGATTTTTAATTAAACCTAAATAAATGCTCTTTCTTGCAAAAAAAAATCAGTCTCCTTTTGTGATTAACTACACACACACAAAACTAACTAGCAGTTTTCAACTTTCCTTTGTACCCCAAGGGAACTCAATAGTTTGGGGAGTGTAAAGACAACAGATAATTTAACTAATGAGGCACTTTGAGAATCCAAACCCTGGGACATATGAAAGTTTTATAATGCCCCTTCTTCTTATTTATCTCTGACCTCTGTACTATGAAAACTCACCTGATCTTTCTGTAAACAGATGGTTGAGAAGAAACAGCTGCAGTAATGACCACTGGAAGAGCTGGTGTGCACCAATCAAGGCTTGCGGGGTAGGCTTGGAGCTCAGAGAGGATGTGTGTAGTGGGCTAGATCCTTGAAAGAGTGCAAACTGGAAAGTGTTTATTTGGTCTGTTATTACAAAGAGCCTGTACTTCAAAGACACTTTAGTTTTCAATGAGTCCCTTTTACAGATATTAATCTGTTTCTGTCTTTGCAATATTGGTTATTTTTCCAGTGTCACTTTCTAAAGAGTATCCATCTATTCTCCACTTCTTTATGGGATTTGTAGAATCTGGTAAGAATTCCTTTCCCAATTTCATACTCAGAAAGTACTCAAGATCCATTTCTAGAATTATGATTTTCTGTTCATCTCTTTAAAAATGTTAATGTATTTTAGTTTAAATTCGCGATACTTACATTTGTGTATAAATAATTGGAAGATTCCCCTTTTGTAGGTAATTTCTCAATATTTTACTTCAAATATTTATATTTATTCAAGTTCTATTGGGATCAGATGACTCGTCAAACAGCACCTGAATATGGGTGTGATGATTCAGAAAGAAAGACAAAAGACAGAAGATAGAGAGAGAGCTCTTGGTGAATACTGCAGCAGTCATGATTTATTTCTTATAGCCCTCTTATACCCAAAGCAAAAGGGGGCGGCAAAATACTTCCTTACCATGGTTCTAAGAGCAAGCTAACATAATCACCTCCTTAATACTCAAAATATATAGCAACCACTCCTTTGGTCAAACATCCTGTTATTTGGCCTTGAGAAGAAAGAACAAGCTTGAACTCTGACCTCCATTCAGGCTGGAATGGACTCACGGTGGGCTCCCACAAGCTCCTAAAGTTTAATAATCAAAATGTAATTCCTTCAAAATACAAATTATGGAACAGAACCATCAGGATTTCAGACTAACAAAGAATGTGAATCAGTCAATGTTACAGTGACAAAGAAAACACAGAAGACAATATGTGAATCTCATACCTTGTCCTTGAGGCCCTCATTTTCTGTTTCTTATTTCACAAGCCAAACGCCAGACTGATATCTTCATAGTGAAATTACATACTAGTCCCTCATCCTTGGATATTTCTCTCCATTTTTTTTTGCCTTTTGGTCTTTTCTCAAATGTTCCTATTTCAGGGAAGATACTACTATCCACTCTTTCACTCTCACAGGATAAACTATTTTATTCCTTTGCAGGTATTTTTTTCAAAGGCAAATAACATTCTCAGGCATTCATAATGTTAACACTTTCTTTCATGGAAAATTTAGTAACTTATATAAGTAAAAAAAGTCTTTTACTTTTCTTTGATGATTTGGTTTTAATTATATTTCAATATCTGTAATCAGATTAACTGATTATAAAGTTTTACCATTAGTGCTCCTCATTTTACAATAATAATCCAGTTTATGGACAGGGAAGAGCATATGAGAATGCACTCCCCCTACTTATTATAGTGATAGTGTGCTTCTTGTTTCATATTCTCATCTCTATAGACCACTGCTCTTTTCTCTTTCCAGACACATTCACTTGGAAGCAAGTGTTCAAAAGAAAGAGCTGTAGGAAACCTCATTGATTCAAAGTAGTGCAACAACTTTGTTGTATTTATGCCAGAAATACATCATCAATTCCTGCTGCTCCACAGAAGACCTTTTGGGTATTCTCAATGATAGTTATGCATGAGAAATTTAAGAAGTCACATAATTTTCTCAAGACTACATAGATGTCAATGGATGAACCAAGATTATGTTAAAGAAATATGGCAAAATTTTTAACTTGTAAATCATTGTTCAATATTTACTTTTGAAATTTTGTTATGCACCCAAAATAATTATCATAATAGAGCAGATTTATATTAGTAATAATAATATAAAAATGAAAACTGACATTTTCGAAATGTATTTCAAGTGTTTGTAGGGCTTATTGAAGAATAAATTTTCTATATTGGCTTATTTATAAAATTCCATTAATAGCAGTTTTAGAAGTTAAGGAAGAGAGATATTTGACTAAATACAAAAAGAATGATTACACATATTTAAAAATGGTTACAAAAAATCACTTGGTTAAGTAAATGAGAGTTGTTGTCATTATGAAAGATATGCTTTCACAGGTTATTTTGTGACTTGACAGTGGTATTAGTTGAAAACTCTCCTTATCTCATCTCTAACAGAAACAAAAGTTAAATGGAAACAGAGAACGACACAGTGATACCAGAATTTCTCATTGTGGGCCTCTCAGATAATCCTGAACTGCAGCCCATTATCTTTGGACTGTTCCTGTCCATGTACCTGGTCACAGTGCTTGGGAACCTGCTCATCATCCTGGCTGTCAGTTCTAGCTCCCACCTCCACACTCCCATGTACTTCTTCCTCTCCAACTTGTCTTTTATTGACATCTGTTTCGTCTCAACTACAATGCCAAAGATGCTGGTGAACATGCATTCACAGAGAAAAGGCATCTCTTACAGAGAATGCCTTACACAGGTATATTTTTTTAATACTCTAGTTGGAATGGATAATTTTTTACTTACTTTAATGGCCTATGATCGCTTTGTAGCTATCTGTCATCCCCTCCACTACACTGTTATCATGAGTCCTTGGGTATGTACACTTCTGGTCCTGATATTTTGGATCATCATGTTCTGGGTCTCCCTGACTCATATCCTATTGCTGAATGAATTGAAATTTTCCAGAGGAACTGAAATCCCACATTTCTTCTGTGAACTGGCACAAGTTATCAAGGTAGCCAACTCTGATACTCACGTCATTAATGTCTTTATGTATGTGCTGACTTCCCTATTAGGTGTGATTCCTATGATAGGTATCATTATGTCTTATTCACAGATTATCTCATCCTTGTTAAGGATGTCCTCTACTGTGAGTAAGTACAAAGCCTTTTCCACCTGTGGGTCTCACCTCTGTGTGGTCTCCTTGTTCTATGGGTCAGGACTTGGAGTTTACTTCAGCTCCTCTGTTTCTCATTCTCAGAGAAGAATGATTGCCTCATTGATGTATACTGTGATCAGTCCCATGCTGAACCCATTCATATATTGCCTGAGAAACAAGGATGTGAAGGATGCTCTTGGAGAACTAGTCAACAGAGTTGTCTCGTGTCCATCCATACTGAGAACTCTAAGACAAATTTTATGAACATACCTATCCTGGGTGCTGTTTTTCTATCATACACCACATGCCTAATTTACACTATTTAGAAATTATTTTTAACTTTTCAATTTTGTGTTTTTAACAGAAATTACTTTAATTCCCTAGGCATGCTGTTTAAAGATTGTAATTGTGCTTTTGGGATCTTTATGTAAATTGCTGTGAATTATGAAACATGAGATCATATGAGTTCATCCTAAATCATTTTGGAAGGTTATATTTTTTTACCTTAATTTGATAGTATTCTTGTTTTCCCTAAAGGAATTATGAAAATGTTCACATCAACACTATTCTCATATGAGTTCTTTTGCTAACATTCAACATATGTGATTTCACTCTGAAAACATTGTTGTATGTTTTATCATTTTTAATTTTTTTTAATTTTGAGATTATAGCTTAATAACATTCTTTATTTTCTTTTTTTTTATTGCGAAAAGAAGGAAACAAAACCTAAACAAAAAAACAAGTTTCCACCTCCTCCCAGCCTCCCATTTCCCTTCCCCTGCTCCCACCCTTCTTCCCCTCCTCCCACCCTTCTCCCCCTCCCCCCACTCCTCGCCCCCCCCCCCGCCCCCCGCCCTCTCCAGTCCACAGAGCAGTCCGGGTTCCCTGCCCTGTGGTAAGTCCTAGGTCCTCCCCCCTCCGTCCATGTCTAGGAAGGTGAACATCCAAACTGGCTAGGCTCCCACAAAGCCAACACATTAAGTAGGATCAAAACCCCCTGCCATTGTCCTTGGTGTCTCATCAGCCCTCATTGTTCGCCATGTTCAGAGAGTCCGGTTTTATCCCATGCTTTTTCGGTCACAGTCCAGCTGGCCTTGGTGAGCTCCCCGTAGATCAGCTCCACTGTCTCAGTGGGTGGATGCACGCGTCGTGGTCCCGAATTCTTTGCTCATGTTCTCCCTCCTTCTGCTCCTCCTTGGGACCTTGGGAGCTCAGTCCAGTGCTCCTGTGTGGGTCTCTGTCTCTATCTCTATCCATCACCAGATGAAGATTCTATGATGATATGCAAGACATTCGTCAGTATTGCTCTAGGATAGGGTCATTTCAGGTTCCCAATCCTCAGCTGCCCAAGGAACTAACTGGGAACCTCATCTTGGGCACTAGGGAGCCCCTCTAGGGTCAAGTCTCTTGCCCACCCTAAACTGGCTCCCTTAACTAAGAATTGTGGTTCCGTGCTCCCCTATCCACCTTTCCTTTATCCCAATTCTCCTGTTTCCCAGGTCCCCCCTCCTTCCCTTCTACCTTTTCTCTCCCCATCTCCCTTTACCCCCATCCCACCCCATCCCCAAGATCCCATTTTCTCCCCGGAAATTTGGTCTACTTCCCTTAGCCAAGAGGACAACTATATGTTTTTCCTTGGGTTCACCTTCTTACTTAGCTTCTTTAGGTTCACCTCTTGTAGACTCCGTGGTCCTTATTTATGGCTAGAAACCAATTATGAGTGAGTACATCCCATATTCATCTTTTTGGGTCTGGGACACCTCACTCAGGATAGTGTTTTCTATTTCCATCCATTTGCATGCAAAATTCGAGAAGTCATTGTTTTTTACCGCAGCGTAGTACTCTAGCGTGTATACATTCCATACTTTCTTCATCCATTCTTCCATTGAAGGGCATCTAGGTTGTTTCCAGGTTCTGGCTATTACAAATAATACTGCTATGAACTGAGAAGCTTCTGTAAAGCAAAGGACATGGTCACTAAGACACAAAGGCAACCTACTGACTGGGAGAAGATTTTCACCAACCCCACAACAGACAAAGGTCTGATCTCCAAAATATATAGAGAACTCAAGAAACTAGACTTTAAAATGCTAATTAACCCAACTAAAAAATGGGGCACTGAACTGAACAGAGAATTCTCAACAGAAGAAGTTCAAATGGCCAAAAGACACTTAAGGTCGTGTTCAACTTCCTTAGCAATCAGGGAAATGCAAATCAAAACAACTTTGAGATATCATCTTACACCTGTCAGAATGGCTAAAGTCAAAAACACCAAGGATAGCCTTTGCTGGAGATGCTGTGGAGGAATGGGTACCCCTCATCCATTGCTGGTGGGAATGCAATCTTGTGCAGCCACTGTGGAAGTCAGTGTTTCGGTTTCTCAGGAAATTCGTGATCAACTTACCCCTGGACCCAGCAATACCACTCTTGGGAATATACCCAAGAGATGCTTTATCAAATGACAAAAGCATTTGTTCAACTATGTTCATAGCAGTATTATTTGTAATAGCCAGAACCTGGAAACAATCTTTATTTTCTTTTTTCCCTTCAAAATCTCCCTTTTTCCTTCAAATTCATGGTCTCTTTATTAACTAATATTACTACTGCAGGCATATACATATATGTATATACATATGTATTCCTTATTATAATAATTTCAGGATAAATAATGTTACTTCTATGTTACATGTATGTATATATATATGTATGTATGTATTCAGGGGTAATGGCTTTGACACTGGTGTTCTCTTTCCTGGGAAAAACCACCTCTTCTCTGTCCAGATTTTATTATTTGTCTATAGTTACAGAACTCTTTGTGTAGTTGAGCATATTTATGGTGTCATATTTGTTCAGCTCATATTTGGGCAGTCATACTTATGAGACTCTATGGGTATGGTGTCTGCTATTTCAAGAAGATGCATTTTCATTGTGCCTGAAACTTTGCCTCTCATAATCTTTCCTTTCCTTCTTCCACAATTTTTATATCCATTTTGACTGGACTCCGCATCTGCAATTGTATTGATTGTGGCTTTCTGTAAAAGTGTCTGTTGGTTGCAGAGAGAAGTTTCCTTGATTAGGGGTGAAGAGTTCATTTATTTGTCAGTATAAGGACAAATGTCTAGAGATTGCTGTTAGGGATTTTGCTGGTTTAGTAAATTAGTACTTGTAGATTCTTCTCCAATATTATGGTAGTGAAATGTGTTATTCAAGCAACCAACATAGCTGGCAAGCAACCTACCCAGTTATGACTTCTGTTAACCAAATTGATGACCAGCATGTCATGATGACCTTAAGAGTATAAAAGTTGTGCATGCTTCTTTATAATAGACTTCACTCTTTGGACCTAAGACCTGGCCAACAAGAGGGAAACAATGCCCCTGAAAATCTACCTAACTCTGTAGAGCTAGTGTGATAAGAGAATAATTTGAGGTTGTGACAGTCTGTAATTTAAGCTGTACAGTGAATCTTATATTTATCGTGCCCTCTCATGCAATGATGATTGGGGTTTAAACAGGAAATCTCCATAAAGTTGTTTTGTAAGAAGTTTCATTCTTGTAGTTCTCTTTCAAAAAAATGTTGTAGACATAATGTGGGAGTCTTCTGTTTTGAGTTGACTTAATTGGTTAATAAAGAAACTGCCTTGGCCCTTGATAGGACAGAAAATTATGTAGGCGGAGTAAACAGAACAGAATGCTTGGAGGAATTGAGGCAATCACCATGCCTCTCCTCTCTGACCCAGACATGATGAAGTTCCAGCCCAAGATGGATGTATGCTAGCATCTTCCTGGTAAGACAGCCACTCGTAGTGCTACACACATTATTAGAAATGGGTAAGTCAAGATGTGAGAGTTAGCCAGTAAGAGGCTAGAGTTAATGGGCCAAACAGTGTTTAAAAGAATACAGTTTGTGGGTTATTATTTTGGGGCATAAGCTAGCCAGACAGGTGGGAGCAGGGACGCAGGACAGCCCACAGCTCCTTCTACAAATGACACCCAATGTTGGGCACTAAATACACAGAGATCTTGAGAAATCTTGGGAAAGAATAGAGTAAAACATGTTTTTCTTGGTAGCAGCAATTTCTTGGATCTGCTCTGCTTGCTAGAGGCAAGCAAGCGCTCTCATCTAAGAGAGGCTTTCTGACTCAGCTTTAGCTGCAATACCCTGCAGCTCTTAAGAGGTCCTGCTACGAAATACTTAAATGGTATTGATAAAAGCTGACTGCATGCTTGTTTGTTTTCAGTCATAGCAGGAAAAAATAGTTGTGCTGTTTAAAAATGCCAGCTTTCTGGGCCATCCTGCCAGGGCAAACTCTGACTCTTTGAGGCAGGAGGTCAGATACAGAGAGAGCATTTGAGTGTTGCAGCTTGCTTGCTGGCATGGACCTTGAAAAGCCATAGAGTTGTGGCAATATAAATGGCAACAGCCAGTACCTCTGCCCTGAGGCTGGAAAGCTAAGGAATGGGCTAGATCCAGCCGCCAAAGCCATGGCTTTAATCCTACCCATATTGCTCAGTAATTTAAAGGCTCATGTGGTCAGCAAAAGAGAGAGAGAGATACAGTAAAGAGGGATTAAAAAACAAACAAAAAAACCTTTAAATGATTTACAGTGTGTTAAAAGTATATGCAGGCTAAAAGTTAAAGTTCTTAAAGTAGAAAAAAAGGGAAGAAAGAGAGTAGTTGGGTGTGGGAGGCAGAAGCAGATTAACCTCTGAGACTTCAAGGGACAGATGTAGATTGACCTCTGTGACTTCAAGGGGTGGTAGCACATGCCTTTAATCCCAATGCCTGGGAGGCAAAGACAGATGGATCTCTGAGAGTTCAAGAACAGCCTGGTCTACAGAGTTATTCCAGGACAAAGATATACAGAGAACCTGTCTCAAAAAATAAAAGAAAAAATAAATAAAATAGAGTTAAAATAAAGCCACACAAAGATGGAAAATACACAGAGAATCTTGATACTGTATACTATTATGCTCTCTTTGAATTGTTTGAATGCTGAGGAATGAGCAACAGCTGCTAAAAGGTATTTGTTTATAAATGCTGCTGAACTAATCCAACATAGATATTTTGAAAATACCTTGACTTCAGAACTTGGATCTAAGGATATGATACTTGGGAAAATAGATTCTTCTTTTGCTTTCACCGAGGATGAGACCCTGTGGATTGCTTCTATCCCAATTTGGTATGATAGACCACGCCCTCCTGAAAGGTTGCTGTGAACACCTTCAGAAAATTACTTCATTCAAGTGCCAACTGAGATGAAC